GAGAGAGAGAGAGAGAGAGAGAGAGAAAGAGAGAGAGAGAGAGAGAGAGGAAGAGGAAGAGGAAGTAAAGGTAAGGAGTTTCAGGAGACTTTTGTTTTTGTTTTAAAACATGATGTTGCTACATAGTTCAAGCTATGGTTGAATTTACTGCGTATCCCAGGCTGGGCCCAAACTCACGACTATACTGCCTCAGCCTCTTGAGTGCTGGAATTGAGTACAAGTGTGTGCCACCACACCCGGCTGCAGATTTCCATTACTCATGATGGCTTGAGGTGTGGTACCTGCTCAGCTCTAGCAGGCTTTGCCGTAGAACTTGTGTGAGTTATGGTCCCTGTTTATCTGGTACCTGTACTCATGCAAAGGAGAACAGCACTTTCCAGAACTTGGAAGTCTAAGTCTTCAGTGTTTTCCTCTGGAACTATCAGTAGCCATCCCATATCTTTTCCCTAAGGTCTCAGCAGTCAATCAAGAAGAGAGAGAAGAAGGAGGAGCTAGTAGAAGTATCATTATTATTTGTATTATTATTTGATTTTTTTTTTTTTTTTTGCGGAACCGGGGCCTTTGTGCTTGCCGGTGAAGCGCTTATTCCACTGAGCCATGTCCTCGGCCCTATTATTTGAATTTTTTAGGGAAGGGTCTACAAGGTGGTCAGGGTCTCACTGCTAGATCAGACTTGTAGAGATCCGCCTGTTTACAGCCTCCCAAGAGTTGCGATTACAGGCGCGGCCACCACGCCCAGTCTCAATTGCCATCTCAGCGGGTCCTGGTGGTGGGGCCGGCCTGGCAGGAGCTGGGATCGAACACCCAGCCCCTGCTTACAGGCGCTTTTTTTTTTTTTTTTTTCCGGTACGGAGGATTGAACTCAGTAGCCTGAGCTTGCTAGGCAAGTGCTTAGGCAGGCGCTTTAATCCTCTGAACTATCCCCTGCCCACGCAGTGTTATTATTGAACTACATTTCCCATAAAGCTAGGGGTTTGGCGGCACTAGTTTGGTATGAGAAAGAGGCCCCAGGGCCTTTTGGGAGTAATAGTCCTAGGCTAGAAACCGCCACCCTTTCATCTTCGCGGCTGGGCGCCAGGGTTTCCAACCAGCTATAGTGCATGCAGGCGGAAGCCTGGTCCCGGGAGGATGCTGGAGGCTATAAACCGGACCTTGGCTCTGGAAGCAAAGCAGGCGGATGGCTTCCTTTCCGCCAGTGCTGGGAAAGTTCCATTCATTGGGGACCGCCTCTGTGACGTCATGGTGCATTCCGCGAGACCTCCTTGAGTTTTGGCCCAATCGAACTCAGGGTTCAGCTTCTGGGCGGGGCCAAGAGAAACCCAAGGAATATCTCTGGGGTTCCGCGGGGTCCCACCGAAAGGGGAAGCGGCGGGGGTTTGTGGTAGAGAGGGAAGCCCATGACTCAGATCCAAATTGACAAGCTCGATTCCACGCTGCTTACTTCTCTCTGACTGCCCCCTCCCCATCCTTAATCTTAGCAGCGAGAAATATCAGGTTCCCTGGCTCCCTCTTTCAGAAGCCTTCAGGAGCTGGATTGGGCTTCTGATCTAACTCTAGGGCTTGAGGGCATAAGTCAGAAATCAAGGTCGGAGAGGGTGCCTGACTGGTTAGGGTGCTCGGGACTGTTTGCTGAGAATGGTGTGCGTGGCAAATTAGGGGTCTTGATCGTGGGGGAGGGTGGGTAGGGTCTTCCAGAGACTGGAGGGTGGCTGGGAGACTTGCTTGTTTCTAGAGTCCCCAGCTTTAGAAATTTTGGGTATATTATTGGTTTGAGGGACCTTTGAGTTTGATAAGTCCCCAGGATGGTGCCGCACCACATTGTTTGGTGACCATGAAATTTCAGTTTGAGGTACAACAGGTTTTTGGACCTTAGGATATGTTGAGTATTGCTCCACTTGAGGTTTGGGATTTGGGATCACATGGATTTGGGGGAGTTGGGATTGGAATTTGGGGAGCCTGGGTGGGTAGGGAGTGGGGTCCTGCTTTAATCTCTTTCTGGTCTCTTGGGATGCAACCATAAATTTGGGGCCCATGGACTAGGATTATATCTCACGCTTTGGAGACATTTGATGAAGGAGATATCTTAATCTGGAGATTTGCTAAAGATCCTGTTTTCTGGGAACCTTGCAGATAGGGGCTCAGTGAGCTCCCCTAACATGGGCTTTGGCTTCTCCCCCTTTAGCATTAACCTGCTCTCAGTTTGGAGAGAAGGCCTTCCCTTGTGTTCGAGGACCGTGCTCTGGCTGTGATGGGCCTGCATCTTGCCCTCCTGTACATGGCCCTGGCCTGTGGCTTGCCACCTGCAGTGTGTTGTATCATATGTGACCCAGCTGTGGCGGCAGCACTAAAGTCCTTGGAGACGGATTACCTGCCCGGCCACCTGGGCGCTGAGCATCACGCAGATGTGATGCAAAGGGTCGAGCACGCTGTGGAGGACTTCAAGAACCTGGAGTTCAGCAAGGAAGCCTACATGGGGGCTGTTGGTGAGGGCAGGGCTGAGGGTGGCCTCTTGGGTCCTGGGAAAGGAGGTGGCTGGGGACAGGGTCTCCTGAGCACAGGAATGAAGGATGGGCTGCAGATTCTGTAGCAAATGCCTTTGTTCCCTCTCTGCTTTACCCTGCACCTTTATGTTATAAAACTGCAGGTCCCTGAAGGTGATGGCTGGTCACTTCCTTAATCAGGGGTGTCTTGCTATGTGACCCTGGGAGGTATTATAATTTCTACAGGGAGGCAAGCCTAGAGACAGTTGGGTTAGAATGTGGGGCTCTGTATACCTCCCACAGATGAGGATACACTGCAACAGGCATCCTGGAGTTTTCTGAAGGATCTGAAGCGCCTTACAGACAGTGATGTAAGAGGTAAATGCACCGAGGGGATGGGTGGCCCAGAGTCACCCAGGTCAGCCGTTGCTGAGGCTGGCGGGGGTAAATGCCAGGCTCCAAGCCAGGCTGCCAGATTCAGGTCCCAGCTCTGAGGCTTCCTAGCCATGTGGTCCTGAGCAGGGGGCTTGGGGCCTCCCTCAGCTCCAAAATGGAGACCTCAGTAGCTCCCTCTTCCCTAGGCTGTTGCGAAGATTGTATAAGTACATGCGTATTGCTTAGCCCAGGGGCTGAGATCCGGCTGAGTGCTGAGCTTCAGTGCTGCTCCCTGAGCAAAGCCAGAAAATGAATCCCAGCCTAGCACAGGGGCCTGCACCTGTAGTACCAGCTACTTGGGAGGCTGAGGCAGGAGGTTTGCTCGAATGTGAGAGTTTAAGACCAGCTTGGAAAGCTTACTGAGGTTTCATCTCATAAATAATTAAGAACGGAGGTCCAAGCCCACAGACCCGGGTCTGCTCCACCCAGCGCCCTGGGCTAGGGCACTATGTACTCCCTGCTTCTTCCCAGAGGAGCTCTTTGTGAAGGAGCTGTTTTGGATGCTGCACCTACAGAAAGAGAACTTTGCCATCCTTGCTGAGCGGTTCCAAAATGAAGGTGAGGAAGGCCAGGAGCTCAGGACCCCAGCCCCCTCCTGCAGCCCTAGAGTGTGGTCTCCAGCCCCAGGCACCTCGGAGTCCAGTTCCTCTGCCTCCTCAGCTCCGCCTCCCTGCAACCCTTAGAGGTGACCCTTCTCAGGTCCTTTGGCCCTGGGGACACAAGAACTCAAAGCTCAGCCCCACACCTCCTTGTCCAGTGTTAACTTTAGAAATCTGATTCTCTCATCTCTTTTTTTCTCTTCTCCCACCTGAGGCAGTTTATTGTCCTAACAGATGTGGTAAGTCCAGATAATGGACATTAGCCCTTTACTCCTCATCCCCGCCCCCCATCCCAACCTCCACCCCTTTCCCTTCTCCCCCCGCCCCACTGGGGTTCAAACTCAGGACCTTACACTTGCCAGGCAAGTGCTTAAGCTGCTGAACTGCTCTCCCTTCCCTTTTTGGAGGGGGTGATTTCTTCATTTTAGAATCTGAGAGCCTCCTGGGCCTCCGGCATTCTCTCTGTGGCTTGGTTTTCTTGGGTATTGGGTGGTATTCTATCTGTACTCTTTGCTACACCTTATTGGTGGGCCAAAGTCTTAGGAATTTGAGGAACAGCACACCCCAACCCTTGCCCTCACCCTTTAATGGGTGAATACACGCTGTGGCCTTGTCTCTTCAGGCATGATGTTGCAGACTCTGATCTGGTGCAATAGGTGTGAGAAGGAGGTCCACACCTGTCTGAAGTCCTTGGATTGCGGGGGTGAGAACTAGGCCTGGCAGGCGGGGCTGTTACATGAGGGGTGGCGCTAGAGGAAACCCCAGCCCGCCGCACTGTTGAGGGGGCAATGAAGGCACAAGGAGCGCTCACAACTCCCACCCTCAGATCGCCATGTGGAGGTCCACCAGATGGAAGACATGATCCTCGACTGTCACCTCAACTGGCACCAGGCCTCTCAAGGACTGACTGACTACAGCTTTTACAGGGTGGGACCCTCCAACTCCCGTAACCTTTGAACCCACGTCCATCAGGTTCCCTCCACTTCTGGATCTGCTGGCTCCTGGGTCCATCGGCCTGCACCCAATCCTCACAACCTCTGACCTATTAGGCATGGCCTCTACTGACCGTCAGGGACCCTATTCCCTAACCAGTGTCCCCAGACTCCATTCACTCTGAGAGATCTTTTCACCCCTGTACTGTCCAACCCCTGAATTTCCCAAACCTCTGTGACCCCTTGAGCTTGGGTCTAGGTTTGGGGGAACAATTCTGAGACCTTGATGTCCAAGGGGAAGGAGCCCCTCCTGACCAAGCCCTTGGTGGGGCCAGAAGATGCAGGTCACTACCGCTGTGAGTTAGAGACCGTGAGTTCCGGCCCAGCCACAATCATCCATTTCCACGTCATAGGTCAGCCCTGGGTTAGGGGTAGAAAACTGAGCTTTCTGGGGAGCAGGAGGCGGCTGCGTGGGCGTGGTCTGAGGGGCGTGGCTTCCTTTTGGGCGTGACCTTGGATAGCTGGGAGAGTGGCTGGGTACAACAGCCGGTGCCCTCATCCCCTGCCAGGACTGCTCTTTTGTCCCTCCCCTGCCAGTGTGGCCCAAAAGTCTGGACGAGGAGCAACAGTCACCAAACATAACCTCAGAGCTCTTGGATTCCTCCTCTGAGACCCTTAAATCTCCGAAGCCCGAGGATATTCTGAGAACTCGCCTCTTACTGCTGCTGATCTGCAGCTCTATGAGTTGTATACTTCTGATAGCAGGCGGGGCTACAGAGTGCGTGGTGACGGAAGGAGGCGGGCTCGGATGAAGGGGCGGGGCTTCTGGCTGCCCACACAGTAGGAGGCCTGGGAGCCAATGAGAGCCTGCACAGGGGGTGGGGCTTCCACTGGGGGTGGGGCTCCCTCTGGAGCGTGAGGAAGCGTAATTTCTAGAATAAAATCAGATTTGTGGGATGTTGGGAGAGCTGTCCCTCCTTCAACCACTGCTTAGTGGTTCCATTATTTGTACCCTGATACCCTCAGGCTATTTCGCAGGGCCAAGACGATGGCTAAACCAAAGTCTTCATCAACCAACATTGACAACGAAGGTACAGCGCAACCAAAGGAAAAGGCCTCAGATCTGGAGAAACAATAAAGATTTGTCTTTTTGTCTAAGTATCTGACTCATTGCTCCAGTCTGATCCAAACCTCTGGTTTCATAACTGGAGAGGTCTAGAGCTGGGCTCCTGTCTGGGCGCCGAGGAGGGGCTGCGGGCCTGGAGCCCTGGGGCCGGTGGAAGGAACCGACAGGCAGCGACAGAATCCCAGAATCAAGGAGCAAGGCAGGGCCAGCCTTGTCCAGGTCTCCTCCCCCAGGCCTCATCTCCTCACAGGACGCCCCCTCCCCGCTCTTCCTGCCGGGTTTCCTCTGGCCTTTTCCTGTCCCCCACCCAGTGCAGGGAGCTGGGGCAGAGGCAAAGACTACAAGAGCAGCGGGAGCGGGGACTAACTCGGGCCAACGGAGCCAGGGCCTCCGGGTGCTGCTGGACCCGAAGCAGGGTAAGAACCAGGGACCCATGAGTCAATCCACAGCCTTCTCTGTCCTGGGACCGCAGCCCCACGCCCATTCCTATCCTAAGGGCCTTCAGCCTTCGGAGCCTAAGCCCAGCCCCCATCCGCCTGCTTCAGGAGTCCAGGTCCCTCTCCACCCCCTCCGTCACCACCACCCGTGCCTTAGACATAGGGGCTTTATCTACTTATCCTTAGGGCCATGCTATCTGGTGAGCGGAAGGAGGGCGGAAGCCCCCGCTTCGGGAAGCTGCATCTCCCGGTGGGCCTGTGGATCAATTCCCCCAGGAAGCAGCTCGCCAAGCTGGGGCGGCGCTGGCCCAGTGCTGCCTCTGTCAAGTGAGTGGCCACCTGCCCTGCCCGCCTGTCTCCCTCCCATTTGCCCCTGCTGGTGACCCAGGCCTTGCACTGCTCCCGAGAAGGTTGCTGTCCTGAGTGGGCAAGGGAGCTGGGGGTGGAGTGGGGACACACAGGGATTCCCGAGCAGTGTCACGGCGGGTGGGGGTGTGTGTGCAGAGCTGGGACATGAGACTGGCAGAGAAGGTACAAGAGTTTGATTCCCCTTCCTTCCCTCCCTCCCACTCCCCTCCTGACATTTCCTTCCGTGGGACTTACCTTTATTTATTTATTTATTTATTTTTTCTTCTTTTCCTCCGATTCCTACTCCCACCCTCATCCGTTCACCTGGGTTCTCTGCCCCCATCTCTCTTGGTCGTGATCACCTCCCTTCTCTGTCCTGGTCTCTCCCTCGCCCGGCTCGCAGGTCTTCATCCTCCGACACGGGGAGTCGCAGCAGCGAGCCGATGGCCCCGCCGCCACCACACGTGGAGCTGCGACGTGTGGGCGCCGTCAAGGCGGCGGGGGGCGCCTCAGGCAGCCGCGCCAAGCGCATCTCGCAGCTTTTCCGAGGCTCGGGCACCGGAGCCTCGGGAGCCGGCGGCGCGGGGGTCCCAGGGACTCCGGGGGCGGCGCAGCGCTGGGCCAGTGAGAAGAAGCTGCCCGAACTTGCGGCGGGCGTCGCCCCCGAGCCCCCGCTGGCCACCCGCCCCACAGCGCCTCCGGGCGTCCTCAAAATCTTCGGCGCGGGGCTGGCGTCGGGGACCAACTACAAGAGTGTGCTGGCCACCGCACGCTCCACGGCGCGCGAGCTCGTGGCCGAGGCGCTGGAGCGCTACGGGCTGGCCGGTAGCTCCGGCGGCGGCCCGGGCGAGAGCAGCTCCGCGGATGCCTTCGCGCTGTGCGACGCGCTGGGCCGGCCCGCGACGGGTGGCACGGGCGGCAGCGAGTGGCGCGCGGAGCATCTGCGAGTGCTGGGCGACTGGGAGCGCCCGCTGCTGGTGCAGGAGCTGTGGCGCGCGCGGCCCGGCTGGGCGCGGCGCTTCGAGCTGCGCGGCCGCGAGGAGGCGCTGCGCCTGGAGCAGGAGGCTTTCGGGGCGGCGGACAGCAAAGGTGAGCGGGCCGGGGCTGCCTTGGGCGTGGTCACCTGGTGGAGGGAAGTGTTGGGTGGGGCTTCCGGGGGTGGGGCCAGTGATCCTGCGACCCTGGGACCGCGGGGTGGGGTTGTTCAGGTAGAGGTGACGCTGGGGCAGGGCAGAGGGCAGCCAAGTGGGCGGGGACAAGGGGGCAAGTCTGTTGGTTGATCCGGGTCTATGGAGCTTGGGGCTATGGGAGGCGTGGCCCGGTTGGTGGTCTTCGGAGGTGACCTAGCGTGGCTCTGGTCGAGGCCCGGGACTCTTAGCAGAGATATCAGGCTGCCTTGAAGGAGGAGGAATATGTTGTAGGTCTAAGAGGAGTTGACACTCAGGACTGCGTCTGTGGGATCTGGGAATGGGTACGTCTGTGCAAGGGGCAGGAGTTTATAGGGTGTGGGGATTCTTCTGCCTGTGTGTTGATAGAAATGTAAGTGGAAGAATTAGGAGCTGAAGGAACAGGCATGGACAATGTCCCTGAGTGATGTGCTGAGTAACGGGCAAGGCGGGACCTGATGTTGGGCCCGGTAATGTGTGGTGGCACTTGGGATGCAGGTCTTGGTGGCCGGAGGCGGCTCTGAAAGATGGAGGCTGCACCCCTCAAGGGGCGTAGCTAATGTAGGTGGCGCCTTGGAAGGGCGGGATCTGGAGGGCCTGGGCGGGCAGAGCCTCCCAGGGGCGGACCTGGGAGCAGGCAGTCTTAGACTGGGTTGGCTGCCAAGTATGAGAGAAGCGAGGGCTAGAGGAAGAGGTTTTTGTTTTTTAACTTTTATTTGTACATGTTTGCAGTACATAATGGTTACATCCACCATGGGGAGTTGGCACATGTACACAACACATCCTAATTCTTTTTACTTCCCTTCCCCTCTCCTCCCGGTCCCTCCCCTATCTCTTGGAGGAGGAGGAGGTGGCATCAAAGGTGAAACCGCAAGTACAGGATGGAGCTTGGCAGGACTGGGGCCTGGTGAGCCGAGGCCCGGGGCTGCTGAGGGAGCCCTAAAACTGCTTTTCTGTTTCTAAATCTCCCTTAGCCAGAGAAGGCATTGTAACAATTAAAACGATGGGCTTTTAATTCAGGCTTGGATTCCAACCCATTCTTTGCCTGTTGATCTTAGCAAAGTGCTAGGTGAAGGTTAAGTGTGTTCATGTACACAAAGGGCTTGGCATTCATAGGAGCTTAATAATAAGTGGCATTTAGAACCATCATCCCCCCAGGCATTCACTGAGCACCTACTATGGGCCATACATTTTAAGGGCCCTGGGGATACAGCGGGGCATGGACAAGTGGGGTTTCCACTCTCCCAGATCTCACACTTAATGGGAATCAGCAGGTTACTCATTAAACTATTTCCACCGGACACCTACTATGTGCTTCGTACAGTTATTTGCTTCAACTTGGACTGTCAGGGAAGGATATTCAGTGGAGGTTGTTTCCATCTCCCTGAAGACAGTCTTTGTTTGTGACTATAACAGCCCCCAGCACATAGTAGGTGTTTGCAAAATGCGTTAAGAGAATGAATGGATTTCTGAGCTGAAAACTGAAAGAGGGGTGGAAGCCACACAGGATGTGTGTTCCAGGCACGGGGAACAGCATCTGCAAAACCCAAGTGTGGGAAGCGGCCTCACCTTTCTGTGGCCCCTTGGGTGGCCTGATGATCTCAGCCTCATCTTCATCTCTTTACCGCTTCAGTTTCACAGTCTCCATCTCTCTCCGCAGGCACGGGCGCCCCCTCATGGCGGCCGCAGAAAAGCCGCTCCCGGGCGGCGTCTGGAGGGGCGGCGCTGGCCAGTCCTGGTCCAGGGTCGGGATCAGGAGCCCCGGCTGGGTCCGGGGGCAAGGAGCGCTCGGAAAACTTATCCTTGCGGCGCAGTGTATCGGAGCTTAACCTCCAGGGTCGGCGTCGGCGTCAGCAGGAACGCAGGCAGCAGGCGCTTAGCATGGCCCCTGGGGCAGCCGATATCCAAATTGGACCTGGTGACCCCGGAGATCTCGATCAACTATCTCAGTGTCTCATCCAGGCCCCTAGCAACCACCCCTACTTCCTGCTGCTCCAGGGCTATCAAGACGCTCAGGTTAGCGCCGTCTTCCCTACCTCGAGTTCTCTATGCCCATGTCTTTGGAGAGCAACAAACTACAAATCCCAGAATTCCTCGGGTCTCAGTGGCTTCCGGTACTCTAGGTGTGGTCCAGCAAAGTTCCAGAGTGGCAAATAACTTGGTGAAAGGAGAGAAGGTGGGGGTTAGATGGTTGACAGCTTCCACTGGAGGAGCTGGGTATGATGCTGCAGGCCCATAATACAAGCACTTTGGGAGGCTGAGGCAGGAGGACTGCAAGGTGGAGCCAACCCCAGGGAGGAAAAAAAAAATTCCACTGGAGGGACAAACGGAATGGTTCATTTCATTTAAAGTTGGGAGAAAACACTGTTCTTCAAGGGAGAGTCAGTCCGCTGTGGAAACATCCCTTCCTAGCAGCCATTTCTTGAGGGAGAAGAGAAAAAGAAGTGCATCTAGTAAGACAGGGAAGTCAATTGGTACCTGGGATCTTGTTCTGGATAAAGCCTATACAGTATTTTCTTGATGGGAGTGAGGACTACTTCACTTGTAAAAGATGACAGTTTACACTGGAACGACTTAACCATTGTTGATGGAAGCAAGTGGTACTGATACTTCTATGTATTATCCTTATTTGGGTAATAGTAGTACTGGAGCATTGGATTTCTTTTAGGAAGAGGGTCAGGCAGTGCTTCCATTTTTACAGGATGGAGGTGAGAGTGCCTTTTTAGGAAGTGGTCTTCTGCATGCATCTCTTCATTTAGTGGATGAACTAGGACTCTGTAAGAAGAGGTCACCTTGAAGCATCTATTTATAAATGAAATTATTAGAAGAGCCCAGGAAAATGGAGACCTTTGTGGAGATGTACATTTTGGGGATGGTACTACTGAGCGCTCTTGTTGATTGAGGGGAGGTCCTTGGAATCCTCCATCATGAGAGCAGGGGAAATAGTCCATCGTCGAAGGCTGTTTCCTGGGATGTGGGCTCATCTTGGGATGGGACTAAATGAAAGTCCACTGTAGAACGGATTTTCTTGGACTTCTGTATTCACGGTAGTGGAGGTAAATGGAAGAGCCTTCTATTCAAAGGGGGTTCTGAAGAAATCCATCCCTTGCTTTGAGATGTTGAG